CCATATAAAATAAATCTGTTGTGGGAGAAATAAGGGTTGCCACTTTAGTACTTCTGAAATGCAGAGAATACTACTAACTATAGAGGACTACAAAAGCCAGCAAAACAATACACAGTAATGCAGAAAAATATGAAGCTACATACGTTGTGTTGCTTCAGGATCATGGCCTCACATCTCAGGGCCACAGGAGGGCTCTCAGGCGGCTAGTGCAGGCTCTCAAGTGGTCAGTGCAGGCTCTCAGTGTGGGGCTCCCTGGGGGCCAGTGCGGGGCTTCTTGGGGGCCAGTGGTTTCCTGGTCAGTGCGGGGCTCCCTGGCAGCCGGTGGCTCCCTGGTCAATGCAGGCCTCCCTTGCTCTGCAGGAAAAGCACTGCACTGACCACCAGGGAGCCACTGGCCCCCAGGGAGCCCCGCACTGACTCGCAATCTTGATTCGTAATAACCCCGATATTAGGAGAATTGAGATGGCGGATATGGAGTTTAAAGTTAATCTCTTCGCTGACGATATTTTATTAACACTCACCCAGCTACACATCTCTGTCCCTAAACTTCTGTCTCTTTTGATGCCTTCTCTTCTCTTTCCGGCCTAACTGTTAATTGGGAAAAATCCTTCTCTCGTTACTGTCAGATATGTTGCTTCGCTGCAAAATAATTTTGCCTTCCGTTTGTCCAGTGACTCTCTTTGTTACCTGGGAATCAATCTTACCCAGTCTTTTAACACCTTGTACAGTGCTTATTTATATATCCCTTTTCCGTTCAATTAAATCTGATTGATTTGCTCTTGGGCAACTACTCTACTATTTCCGGGCCCTTCCGGTTGCCATTCCATTCTTCGCCCTTAGCTCATTACAAAAATGTATTAATTTCTTTATTTTGCTTTCTAAGAAACCACGCATTCCCCAAGTCACTTTGTATCGCCATAAAAGAGAGGGCGGGATCAGTCTTCCCAATACCTACTTCCTCCCACCCAAAGCCACCTTTAAATGATCAGGTGAAACCTGGTCTTTCGCATCACCAAATTTTCTTTTTTTCTTTTCTTGATGTTTTCTCTTTTATCATTTTATTACTTCTCCATATGTTCTTATCGCCTTCCTCCTTTTTCTCTCCATGTCTGTATTCTCACATGTACCACTGGCATTTCTTAACCTCATCTGGAACATTTTCATGGCTCTTGCGATAAATATTTACTTCTTGGGGCCCATGGGCAATATTTGTTTTCCTGATGCACAGCATTATGTAGTCCATTTGCCATCATAATTTTCCTTTTATATGTCACTGGCCCCTTCTGATTGCTTTATATTGTTTAGTTTTATATGTTTTCACATTGCTGGATACTCACTGGCTAGAGGTTTGTGTTCTTTTTTTATTTGATTGACTGGTTTGTTTTCATTCTAATGCAGTGTTGCTGCCTATTACCACTTTAACATGAGCTGTGCCTTCAGCACCCTTTTTTATACTGAAATGCTTTGTACATTTATGCTTTCATATGATAATTATTGTCTTGGATATGTTCTTATGTTTGCCTTTTTATAAAAGTTTTATATTGTTGTACTTTCAAAAATTGTATTCAAACGCCTGGGTCCGAAAAAAACAGACAAAACAGTGTTGCGTTTCAACAGACCAGATCGTGCCGGATTGGGAGTAATCTGATGTAAACGGACACATGTCCGTTTACATCAGATTCCCCATAGACACACATGGGGTCTGGCACTTTTGGATCTGTCACAGTGGTGACATCCAATCCGTACTGCTCTGATCAGGAGAGGATTTGTGCACGGATCCTCTCCTGATTAGTCTGTGTGAAAGAAGCAGAGGAGTGTGAATCATAAGGCTGGAGGTGGATGTTTGTGTATAACTGACAATAGTCTCAATTCACAAAGCTAACACACAAGGAGAAGGCTAAATATTTTAAAAAAGTGATTATTACTGGCAGCTGAGTCTCTTAAGATGTATGATAACTGTCACATGGCTAAAAAAACAGATATGTCATTAAAGATTTGTACATTAAGCCTCATGTGTGTATTTGTTATGATATTGGGAGACCCCCCCCTAAACCAAAATCTCTAGACCCTTCATCTTACCAAGAAAACATCTTTATATTGGAAGACATGGTCACTCCCATTATATAAAAAATCAGCACAGTGGAACAGGCTGTCATTTAACTATGTAAGGTGGAGAGTGAAAAGCTTGGGAGAGGGTACTGTTGATTTTGTTGTATATGGTCTGTAGAAGGGTTTCCAGCATAGGAAAGTCTGCCTGTTGCTTTACATCTTTAGATCTACAAATGTTTATTATCATTAATTTCTACTCTTAAATCTCTAGTTTGCATTCTACATTAGAATTTCAGACTCACATTGATGAGTGACTACTGCGCACATGTAATAGCATTCACAAAACTGACAGGCTGTGTAGTTTTTATAAAAGATTTAATCAATTTTGGATCTTGACATGTTTTGTGGACAATCCATCCACTTCCATATGAGAATATACAGAGCTGAGGTGATCTGACCTGTATTCTGCTGGCAATGTTTTATATAGTACTGGCAGAGGCAGAAGAGTGACTATGTAATAAGGGCAGAGAGGAGCCTAATTGTCAAATAGAAAAGAAAAATATGAAATTCATTGCGTGCTACCAAGAAGTACTTTAAGTACTGTACCTCTTGGTCTGCATAATGCACTATGACCGTATTATTTATGTTGTATTTTGAAAACATTAGTGGTTAGATGAGATGAGCATTATGGCCACAATAAAACATTAGAGGATCCAAACTTAAAATGTTATGTTTTCGTTGTCCAACAGGAATTTATTAGCACAGTATACTGTAAAAAAGCGAATCCGTAAAAAATTATGTTTACCATTTAATTCCTGATAAGAAACAACAGAGCACATTCACACATATTACAGTGCCAAGGCACATGCTATTCTTCTGGCTCCTTAGAAGTCTGGCAGGAGATGGTGTCATCAAAGAGCCATGTCATTGAACAGAAAGAGCTGTTCCACAGAGACATACAGTAGTGCAAGAAAGTGGGCCCAAGCAATAGAATTGAACTAAATTATTTACTATTGACCTGTCTTACACTGTTTGAAGGACAAATTTTCTTAAGTCTATGTCCCCTTTAAGACAGTATGAACAGTGTAGATAAACCTTATGCATCTAGTCTTAAATAGTACCAACATAGCACACACTGATATTATGTAATCATAATTTTTTACTCAATTTCCCTCCATTTGCCTGTGCGCAATTTTCCTCCCACATTGATCCTTGACAGGAACATGTAGATAGTCAGGATAGTCAAAACCTTACCTCTTTGTATAAAGTGAGTGAGTGCTGCCTGTCACATAACAACCAAGTTGTGCTGTTGTTGTCCACAATTGCATGACATCAGCAAAGCCAGGAATGTGTATTAGGTTTTGCAAGTGCAGGGCAATGGGAGACCAAAGTGCGTCTCTAAATAATTCTACTTAAACATACATCAATACTTAAAGCATTATTACTACTGTAATTATAATTAAAATTATGGCCAGTCAGTAGGTATTTGCCATAACATTATCCAATAAAAAAAGTACCAGTGTACAGTTAAAAAAATAATAATAAGTCACTACTTTAATATTAGTAAAAACAAAAACAAAGTAATAAACCACTGTGAATAAACTGTTCTGTACACTTATGCCCTTTTCATATGTATGAACATGCAAAATGCACAGTTTTTATGCATGTTTGGTCACCAAAGATTACGCAGTACATGTACATATTTGGCTCTGATGCTTTTAATGCATATGATATGTTGCCAATAATTGTAATCACCAACACCAAACCCAATTAAACCCCTATCCCTTATAACGCTCAATCAAGACATGACTGAAGCTCTTAACTCACAACCCAAACTATACAAATTAAATAGGCTGCGTTAGCGCACATTTGTTTACATGCTTCCATGCACCTTTCCTTTCTGACAGTGGGCATACTTTACAGTCAGAGCACATGGAGGACATGGTGGAATGGATAACCAAGCCTTCCTTATCCTCCTTCTGCTTTGAGGTGCAGAGTTATATCAGCAGCTGCAAATGCACCCTCTTCTTCCCCCTCCTCTACAGCTTATCCCATTGTTGCCCCAAAAACTGGCATGGAGGACAAATTAATTCAGCACAGCCTCACTGACTTACTGCTGGAGGATGCACTAAAATTAATCTTATCCGATATTTAGGAAGAAAGCACCAGCAAAATAGAGGGAGGGGACAACAGACAATTGATGAGAGACAAAAACAATTGCCTTGGATGTTCCTGCAGTTGCACCTTACTGCCAAGTGGGCTTGAATGATAAGGGGACATGCCAAACCTGGGGTATAACATCAGCAAACAAGCATGTCCTCCTAAGGGGTAGCTTGCAGAAGAGTGGAGGGAACAGCTGCCCTATTCCACTGGATGGCACTGCCCCGTAGGTGGAGGCCCCTGCTACCCTTAGGTTCACGCAAGAGAACTCGGAAAGTTCACGCAAGAGAGCTCAGCCTTCCATCTCCAGCAGCATCCTTGATCAGGCAATTCCAGCTTAGAAAAATTACTGACTTTACAGCTGCTTCTTTTCCAGCTGGCACAGTCTGCCCCCTTCCTTGACTTTGTGGCTTGTGCTGCACCACAGTAATAGGTACCCAGCTGCCATTTTTCAACCAGAAGGACATCCATATCTTCCACCAGCGTGTGGAAAATAATGTCTCTATGTTGCTAGAGCATGAGCAGAGAAATTACATCTCTTTTACAGCACACTACTGGAGCTTATGGTACTGCCCCCTATCCTGCAACATGGTGATGGTGACAGCTCAGTGACCTCTCTCCCCTCTTCCTTAAAGTCCTAATCTGGTGACTTGTCAGAACCATCAGTTCCTCCCAAGCATCCAAAAGCCTATTCAACGGCTGGTATACTTGTGGAACCGAGGCCACTCTGGGGCAGAGGTTCTGGAAGCTCTTTTTCGGGACAGTCCAAGAGATGACTTGGAAAAAGAAACCTGTGCTATAAAAGGTCATGAATGACAATGCCACCAACCTGCTGTCTGCACTTCATCAGAGAATGTTGACATGTGCCTTGCCTGTTATGCAACTTCAGTGGGCAGTGAATGCACAAGAGCAGAAGGAAGAGGAGGACTTCCTGGTGTTTCAGGGCCTGCAGGATCCTTTCACAACTGACTCCATACCTGTGTGGCATGAGCAGGCAGAGGAGAAGCAAGAAAAGGAAGATTGGGGTGTTTGTGGTGAGGAAGAGGAAGACATGGGGCAGGCTTCCAGGGGTACATTTCACCCTTCCCAGGAGTTCTACTTAGGATTGGTGATATCATAAAGGACATTGTTGTCCAAATTTGTGGCATATGGGCTTAATCATGCTGCCCTGCAAGGGCCTCAGAATTCAGGCCATAATGGAGAGGGGCTACTGGTTGGCTATCCTTTTGGATCCCCGAAAAAAGGGGAAAATGCCAGACCTCATTCTACCGTCACAGAGGGAGCAGAAAATGCACAAATTAAAGAGGTAGTGCAGAGCAACCTCTTACCTGCCTTTTCAGAGTGTCAGGGACCCCTTTCATTGCTACTGTGCTTTAGATCCTCAGGTCAGCGAAAGGAGGAACATCAATGGAGGTGATTAGACCTAAAGAATATGTTACCATGTTATCTGGTTTCAAGAGCAGATGCAGATACCCTTGGAACCATGGACCCCCTGGACATTTGGGTGTCCAAGCTGGACCACTGGTCAGAACATGCCCAGTATGCAATCCAACTGCTGGCCTAGCCTGCAGCCAGTGTGTTTTCAGAAAGAGCATCCAGCTTAGCTAGTGGTTTTGTGACAGATAGGTATGTCTGCCTATCCCCTAAAACAATTGACCTGCTCACTTTTTTTTAGAAATGTACCAGTCCTGCCTGGATCAGCAATGAGTACCAAATCCCTGCATGTCATGTTTTAATCTGGCCCCCAAAACATTATTCAATTAGCATTATACTTTACTGCATTACTGTCTCCTGCCACCACTACTGACCTGCCACCACTATCTTCTCCTACCACAATTAGCAGCTTCTTCTGCTTCTCTGGCCTAACACCATAATCATCTCCTGCCAGTGCTGCTGGTCTGCCAGCATAACTATGTCCTTCTGTCTCAAATGCCTTTTTCTGATGCTTCAGGACTCTCAAGATTCCACAAATAATGTTTCTGCAGCTGGTCTTCAGCTGCAAAATGTGGGAAATTGTTTTTTTGCAGGGTCAATCCTGAGTTACAATACAAAACACAAAAATTCCCCAGCCCCAACCTGCCAGCCAGCCTGCAACCAAACAAGTAGCCCTGTCAACAGTATGCGTTAAAATCAGAGGTTTTAGTTGCAACTTTCTCAATCCTGAGTTACACCTGTGCAGAATGTTTCTGCAGTTGTGTCTAGGGTAAATTTTTCTGCAGGGTAAATCTTGCCTCAAAGTTTGTGGTGCATTCTGTTGATCAGGCACTGTCAAGGTGCAACAAATAATGTTTGCAGCTGGCACTCAGCTGGAAAATGTATAGTGTTTGATGCAGGCTAAGGTCCCCCCCCCACAAATACAGGCTATAAATTAACCTTCATACTCGTGGTTGGGTATATATACCGTATAATAGATATAGGTGTACGTTTAATAAACCGTGATAAAACTAGCTTTATCACGAGTTAACTTTACTCAGCAGATCTCTTTTTTTTCTCGGCTGCACAGAGGCTGTTTAATAACCTGCGAAAAGAAAGGCCTAGCGGCGACCACGAGCGGGGTGGGTTAGGACATTTAAAAACGCCCATCCGCATTCCGTCTGCTGCCCGGCCGTTTAATAACAACAGCCTGACAGCAGGTGGTTAATTATTTAATTCAGAAATATTCTTTGTTGATTATGAAATATAGTTCTATTTTTTTTTAATGTATTATTATTATTTCTATTTGGAATTATTAATATTTCCATTAAAT